GAGAGAGGGAGAGCAGTACCAGGATTTAACGGTGCAATTCAACCGTGATTCGCTTTTTACATACTTCAACTTACCCGAAAGCAATCACCCTTTTTGAGACTTGCAGAACTAAACATAAAAAACAATAACTATTACTTAAACAAGACTGTGGCAAATATCTGTAAACGGTTATTTACTATTATGCAGGTCATTAAGCTAGGAGTCAATGAATCGGTTTGTCTGTCCGTCAGTCAACTGCCATACCTCGGGAAAAGGAAAATTCTAATATATTTTAATAACAGCCGTGTCCTAGCTTTTTTTAGAGGTAATAATCTACGCATTGTGAAGTCTGGAAATGATGGAAAATGAATAGAAAGCGTGCACATCTTCTGGTGTCTTGTTACAACACGGAAAAGGTTGGGAAAAGAGAAAAGTCAACAAAGCAAATTGATATTCACCATACCCTGGCAACACGAGTCGATTTGTAATTTATTAATGTGTCCTCCCGTGGTGACTGATTATGAACTATAAGTGTGGATAATTGCTTGTATAAAAGACACTAAAAGGTGGATAACGGACGCGTCGACTGCCTGCACGCTACATGTACGACAAGACAACGTACAGACAATGCCATATGCTTTCCCATATCACGGTGTGCTTTTGATTCACGACTACTAAAATGCTGTCATCTGATGTAGGACGTAGACAGCTGACGTCAGCGTTGCGTAATCCACAGTGAGTTTGATACATTCTAAATTGTTAAGAATGTAAGTTGATCAATTTTCATTCACTGAATCATCAAAAGACGATTTTTTTATAATAAACAGTAAGAAATTATAAAGTACAACTGTTCATTTAGTTATTTATCTAATCTTCCTCTAACAAAAATACTACTACTGCTACTTCTATTACTAATAATGATAAAATGATAACATTCACTATTTGACTTCCTTTTCACAAAACGCCAATAAATGGGACTTAATGATCCTGGAGCCTACGCTTTTTTTTTTCAATACCTAGAAATCTCAACAGGTTTAATATTACCTAGCGTATAAAATAAACACTGAAACACTTAGATAATTCTGTGCATAAATCGGAATCAAATTTCACATATCATTTAAAAGGCCAGAACAGAAATGTCTCAAGTCAGGTTAACCCTTTGTACTATCATGGGACAGAAAATCGTATGGAGCTGTTTGGCTAAATCTACCTCTTAGGATGACCAGTTAAAACAAATAATATTTTTCATAAAGCTGTCTTTTATCAAAATGAGTGTGGGACACAGACTTTCTACACTGAGCTAAAAATAAAAACATGTGAATTGTTTATGTAACATGGAATAGGCTACGTACAGTTATCTGTAGCAACGGCGAATTCCTTTTGTACATATATATATATTGATAAAATGTTAAAAGTTTTGCGTGGGGCGTTTATTTGTTTGCTCATATGTACATCAAGTGTATATCTTTAGCCTCATATTATTTACAAAAAAACATTGTCCTATTAATTTTAATTAAGTTTCTAATTTAAATTAGAAATTTTAATGCACTCGAAAATTATTTCGTTTTTCCAGTTGTCAATTGCAAAAGGTCATGTGTTTTGACAAAAGAAAACATTTTAGTCATATGAAACTTTAAACAGTGGATTTGAAAATGTGACGCTCGCGGCAATCCTATAAGGCTGGGCTTCATTTTGTTCATCTCTGTGTTGCAATAAATAATAAGTAAAATAATATATTTTGTATTTTGTCATCTGCATTGCTTAGAAAGCATTGATTTTAAACACATTTCATGCTAAAATTTATTATGAAATCATTGTCATTATAAAAAGGATCGTCGTCCTATTCGGTTTCGCCGTTGGCATTTTCAACTAATCTACGTGTGACACCTGTTAAATTTCACACCTTTCATAGTTTTGTCTCGTCTTTTTCTAAAGAAAAGGGTTTTTTTACAATGTACATGTAGCCTACGTCTAAATGGCGAAGTGCGTTGCAAGTCTTTGTTAAAAATTTTGGCCAGTTATAACTTAACACGAAGATTTCAACCGCTACAGTTTCAGCTGAGGTTTGTCTGTCGTCTATGAGATATGTTTGAAAGGCGATATTATTTGTTATTATGGCGTAAGGCACGACCTCCGAGGACACGTTGTAAATGAGTAGAAACTGTGTGCAGAATCCGCGTGCACTTCAATTCTAAGAAATGTCAGGTGAAAATTCTACAAAATAAGTCGAGACCTGCTGAAATTTCATCACGATTATCTCTTCAGTAGGAACACACAATAAAGAGTATCCGTTAACCATTGTCGATAAAATATCATGCTTGTAACGATTTGCCTCCTCTCCTTTGAATAAAATATGTTAAAAATAGTTGTTTTTGATACCGACCTGAGAACGAGTGCATTTTTTTTTTGTTTGTTTGTTTTCGAAAAGCGGGCATGACGCATTTTTAAGGACAATTCATACAATCTCGGTGATATTCCAGTGAAACGTGTGACATTCAGCACCTTGGTCGTTCGACAAACTATAACATTTCCAAATGTACTATATTAGAACATGGGCTCATACACGTTGGTGGTCATGGGGGTATATTCTAATTTATTTAACTGTACTTAATTTACATTTACATTTATTTATGTGTAATTTATTACTTTATTTTTTATATGTCATTTATTATTAGGGCTCATATATGTTGGTGGCCATGGGTTATTCTGTGGGGTAAAGCTGAATTTATTTAACTCTACTTCATTCACATTTATTACATTTATATTTATTCATATGTCATTATTTACGAACCACAACATAAAGGAAATATTCTATGCCATTGCCATAAAATCCTAGAGAGCTGTATGTGATATTGAAATGTCTATATACATCAAAATCACATAAACTATTTTCCAGAAGTGAGAGCCTTGCATCAGGATCCTCGTCAGTGAACTGTATATAGTGTCCACCGGGGGTCAAAATTCTAGCGGCCTCTTTCAGCATTTGTCTTGCACGAGACAGGCCATTGTTCTTATCCTTCAGTACAGAATCCACTGTACCTTTGTCTATGACCAAGTCCATGGAATGGTCCTTCAGGGGTAACATTTCTGCATCACAGCAAAGAAAAAAGCTTGTCATTTTTGTCTTGAGTTTTGAGGATTTTTTATGCTCAGTACTAACTGCTGACTTGTCTAAATGAGATGTTTTGGAATTACTAGGCACACCATTACATGGAATTCCACTATCATAACATATCTCAGATGATTGTGGAGCAGCATAAATTTTTTGTTGGTGAAATACAGCTTCCATAGAGAAATCAGTTAGAAACACAGAGCCTTGAAATTCAGATGCTTTACAGAGATCTAAAGTAAAATGAGATGTTCCACAACCAAGATCTATAATTCTGCATTCATCTGATTTTGGTATGAAAGGCAGAACTTTCCTTTTCACTGTTTCAAAATTGAAAAACCACTCAAACTGTTTCCCTGAGTCAATGTAACGTTTTTGCCAAGTCTGTCTCTTCGCCATTTGGCTGCCAGAAAAATCTAAATGAAAATGGCAATTTTAAACCCAATGAACTAAAAACAATTATGTACTTTATATACATTCAACAGCATAGTAAATGAACATATAAAGAAACATAAATAGGAGGGGAAGAGACAAAGAACTTGATATCTCATGTGGCTTACACATAGCAAGTAGTATGCTTCAGGTTCCCAAAGACAGCACTTTTCTCGTTGTTTTCATCAAACTCCCATTTTTGTGATACATGTTTTACACATTTGAAACCATGTAGGAAGAAATACAATTTGCCAAAAATACAATTCCCTTTTGGCATAAATCATCATTTTTGATATGTACTGTAAAATTTATTAATAAATTAATTCAATGACATATTTTACATAACTCTGTAAGCCTTTCAATGAGAAGAGTGAAACACAGAAGATAAATTCATTAAAGGTATACTACTGAGGTTTGAAAAAGAAAACATTACAATTGTATAAGAGAAAAATGGTTTATTTTCCAAATAAAATTCTATTTGGCAGGGAAATCCCAAATATGAAACCTTTAAATCGATATCTTATATTATTATTATTATTATTATTTTTATTATTATTATTATTATTATTATTATTATTATTTTCAAGAGATTCTAAAAGGTAAGGTTCTGCTACATGTTTGAACATAATACCCCTGAAGTGGCCTAACATAAAATATTATATTGCACCACATTTAAATAAGAAACATTTAAAAGAAATATCTTTAAAATCTTCTACAAAGCACTGCAAATAATTAAACCCATCAACTAAAATCCGGCAAGTCAACGCTCTCCGTAATTACTTCTCTCCCCCCCCCCTGCAAGTTACAGCCCTTAATATTGTAAACATTGCGGTAGAGAAGACGTCAAGTTCTCACCTGTGCATTGTGGAGAATGTATCGCTGTTCAGTGCATTGAAAGTTAGCTTAAAACAATAGGTGTAAATACTCGTATAATTCGATCATTACAGTTCAGCAGTGACAACAAAAACGTGGTGTTGTATGTAATTCCTGCCTGTCACAGCGGTGACATGTGAGAGTAGACCGACGTGTTGTGCTTGTAATGATAGCCAGGAGTCGTCATAGACTCCTTTTAAGGGCAGACACTTTCGGTGCCAAAGACACAGTTCACACCAAGAGGCAGCATTATTGACTTGGTAGATGCAATATAACCTTGAGTTAACCTTTAACGTACCTGACTTTGATGCAATCCCAAGAAAAGTTCCTAGAACTGAGGGTCGCTGGTTTGAGGTACACGAAGTGCACCACCGGGTATACCTCGTGGATGCAGCCATCTTGTTTTGATCGTCACAACTGACGCATTCCCTCTACTGTCACTAGGCCCACTTTGCGTACTTTTAACTAGCACATTGAAACAAGATACTTTTTGACTTGCATTGCATGTTTTATGAGGAAAAAGAACACTTTTAACATTATAATGATGGCAGTTAGGCCACGCCCTTTTACGTCCCCGCATTGTTAGATTCTACCCCACACTGGTAGGCCTAAAAATGCGACACATTTTGATGTTAAAAACACAATCCTTGCTTTTAAAATTTAATTGTAAATACCGACACCCAAAGTTACAAAATTTTAGAATCGTCATTCAAAACCCAATGAGGGGCAGCAACGCTGGTGGTGAAGGGGTAGGGGCGGGAGCGACAAAGCAGGGGCGTATCAATGTGAGTAGGCCTAATATTAGCTTATAACTTTACCCACTTTAGTTTAGGGTAGTAATGAAATAGGCCTACTATATAGGAATGTAAAGAGATGACCTTGGTCGTAAATGTAATTGAAAATGTTAACGTTTTAAACGTCCTTTATTCATTGCTATTCAAATAAATGTCCTTTCAGTTAATTCTGTTCTCCGCTATGTACTCCTTACGTACGCTTGCTCTCGTTAATACCACAGAAATACCGAAACCTGTGCAGTGCCGCATTTCACCGATATAAATATTGAATGATCATGATGAAACTCTCGACTCAAAAATTACTTGGTAAATGTCAAACGCCCTTACAAATCTATCTCTTTCAGCTGAAACACTATGAATTATAATCACAATGTAATATTAACAACGAACAAGAATTGATTGCACCACTGATTTAATTTGCTGGATTTCCAAAAATTTTACATGGATTTTCAAAAATTTAACATGTAACAGTGTGCGACTTAAACCAACAAATTGCAACATTTTTGTGTATAGTTACTGAATGTAGCTCTCTTATCATCAAATGAAACCTTCCAAATTAGAAAAATGTCAGTGAACACAGATACATATAGGCAAATATATAAGATAAAGAATTTACTTTTACATACTGCAACAAAATTTCTCTTTAAAAATCTAATTTAAAACGTGTTCCAATAGCTGACATGTCGAAGTTAAATTTCCAAAGACATAAAATATATTCATTCCAGAGTAAAAAAAATACTAGTGTTACCATAAAACTGCTGAATTTGATTACAGTGACATCCTGTATGGAATCATTGAACCAGCAAAAGCTTATATAATTTTTTTATCTTAAATATGTATATATACGAGTATACCCCAGTAGCTAAACAATGAACACCCAGGGAGTAAAATAATGTATCACCAGTTTGGCAATAAATGGCTATATAAAGAATACTGTATTATGTTATGTTATAAAGTTACTAGAAAATATTGAGATTCTAATAAATATTACATCTACTATCCCTTTAGAAGATTAAATATATTTTTGTTTAAGAAAAATTTACAAATCCCATTTTGAACAAACATTCTAAAAACTTTGTAGAACATTTGGCAAGCAAGACCATATATGCAAATGTATATCATACATGCACAACAGTCCATTTTTGTATGCATGTAGGTTTTTCTTGTGAACATCTGGTTTTGATAAAACACTATTCTTGTATTATCATTTTGATTTTTTAATAAATCCCATCATCAACGAATACCTCTTTAAAATCTTCAGCAATAAGAAAAAGGCAAACTTAGTTTTAAAATATCTAACCCTTTTGTTACTTTTCTAAATCTGCTCTTAGGAAAAACTTCATTATGTGGTAAATCTATTTACCACCTAAAATGTGGGATTTAGCTGTGTCAAGAATATATGACCACAGTTCTTGACTGAATTAAATGTCAACCTAAAAATATTGGTAAAATACAAACAGAACACATAAATGACTTCAATTAGACCGAATGATCATGTCAATGCTGCAACAAAATTATCAATAGTCTTACTGCATCTGTATAGCTAAGTCAGTCACTGGTAGTTAGCTCAACAAAACTAATAAAACTGTAAAAAAATAACTAAATAAAAAGGCTGAAGATTTTTTTTGATATAAAATCAGTCAGGAGTATTAAATGACCCTTATTAAATATGTATGTCCCCTCTGCCCTGTCACTCTAATCAAGTCATCTGTATTTCAACAATAATTTGACAATGTATTCAGAAAAACCTCTCTTTTTGCCAAAAATGGCTAAGTGTTGGTCTCCAGATTTCTTCTATTGGGACGTGGACTGGATGCGTCAGTTCCTGGGGTGACATCTCCAAGCTTCCTCCATACAACCTAGTCGTTAGAAACGAAATAATTATATCATTTGAGAGAATAAAAGATAGTGAAATTTTTATTACACCTTTTCAGGTGCACCACAGAAAATCCTCATATTGTGTTTTAAAGTGTTAGTAAGTAAAACTACAAATTACTCATCATAACATTTACCATTACTGGTGCCAAAAATAGCACTGTAGGCCATGTCATCATGAGAAATACGAAAAACTGGCTAAATAGCATTACCATGCATTTCACAGCGAAGAACTGATTACTTATTTTCACATATTATGTTTCGTGTTAAAACATGGATGCCAAATGATTGTTTGCTTGGACATGTGACCAGATGCAAAGCCGTGTTAAGTGATAGTGTTATGTGTTATCTGGAACTACGTGTACTCTTGACTCGACCACTGCACACACTAATCATTAACAAATAAGGGCATATTTTTAATCTGGGAATTACAATTGCAGTGTACATATTACAATGTGCTGTGAAGAGTTCATTTCTGGCAACCATGCATGTCCTTGCATTCAAAAAGATAAGTGAAACGTTGACCATTATCCCAGAATTCTAAAAACAATGTACTAATCATAAATTTTCAAAACTGGCACTATTTTAATGAGATATGCAGAAGAATATTAAAATAAAAACTTAATTACCGTCAAAATCACATTAACTATGGATGACAAGATTAATTTCAATATCAGTTTTTGACGTAACTACTGAACTGTGGGAACTGAATAGAGATTTGTCCAAATTTCTTTTTTGGAACAGACTGGCACAAATTTCAACCATTTATTCAGAGTAATATTCAGACTTATAGACTTCATCTTTTAACTAATTAATTTTGATTTCAATGGTTAATCTCTTTAACCTATTTATTAGGCTAAGCAATGAGTGGGCTGGAAAGTAGTTTAGAGGGTCAGCAAATTCCAAGTGACCATTTGGATTAAAGTTTAAAGTGTGAGCTCAAACTATTTAGTTCCTAGAGAGAGTATGTGCCCATAAGCCAGCTTAAAACAATTCTAACATGGGCCACAGACAATACAGAAAACATACACAACAACTAGCAATTACATTAAATGCACTAGACACAACTAAAAGCCAAATGGATATGGTGAACATGGTTAGTAATAAGTTAATAAAACCTTGTAGAAGTCGTTAGATAAACTTTGCCAAAACATGATTATTTGCTTGACCTCCTCTTTTTTATATTATAACAATCTATACCATTTCTCTTTTCTGAATACTATCCTGAAAACATTATTTCCATGTTAGAATAAAAGCAGCTCTTAAACCCAAAATATTTTTCTGTGAAATATAAATATTTAGACACAAAGGTTATGAAATGTTAAATCAATTTCACTTTAAACTAAATCAAATAAAATACAATATAAATATGGAAATCCATGGAGAACCTTGACAACAAAATAATTTCTTTCCAAAGGCAATAAAAAAAAAATTTCTAATTAATGATAAAAAAGAAAATTTCTTTTGCATTAATTATATCACTAATTTTCAAAACACCAATGCATATATCAATAACAGAAAGAAGGTTTATGGTCCATGTCTCTGTAATTAAAACTGGAAAGAATGCTTACATTACACAATTCCCTCACTATTGCTTTTTCCGAGTCATCTAGATCCTCTTCTGTCATTTCAGATAAGGGGCGTTCAAGTTGCTCATGTACTTCTAAGACCTGCAACGGAAAAGGCAGCACACCCTACCAACCATGCAATGCAACAAATGGCAGCAAAAACGCAAACCTAAGGGAGCCTACACACAATGTAAACATTTAGCATGCAGTACTTATAAACAAAACACAGTGACAATACTTCTAACACACACATCTTTGAACAAACAGTCCAACTAGACAACAATTTTTATTGGATCAACAGCTCATATCAACATGTTTCAAACTAATTCTCATTCAATTTTAAACTCTTTAACATTATCCAGAAAATATTTCCATTTGAAAAAATCTGACAACTGACTGAACTGTATTGTTTAAAATAAATATTCAAAACAATGAGTATAAAATAATAACATGACATCATACAAATAAATATATAATCTTAGATACACTAGATTAATCTAATCTATTTATTATAATTTCATAAGCACTTAATCTACAGTAAATGTGGATTATCAGGTCTGTGGGGAGGGTTAAGCCTTAAGGTTTCAGGGGCTTTGTATGAGCCATGTTTTCAGTCAGGACAAGGTCCATTTTGAATCAAAATTTGATCTAGGATCTATGACATAATGATAACAAGGTCCATTGTTTCAGGAGAGCCTCCCCCAAACCTCCCTTGAAATTGCTGGCAACAGGCCTGGGTCTGCTTTACCCCAGTTATTCACTGACGAGAATTCAAGCTAAGAAGGCAGATGGTATTAAACTAATCCCAGTGAGCTGTTGCAAAGAGAAAATGCACTGGTATAACTTGCCAGTGTAAAGAAAAGGAAAATAAATGAAGAAAAGAAAGCAGATTTCGTAAAGAGATCTCCTCTCCACTACTGACCAGTATAAAAGGCCCCATCGCCTTCAATTCTTACCTTCATAGCATGTACCACAGCCTCTGGTTTGGAGGGGCCATGGTGTGGTGGCACTGAGGTAGCTTCTCCTCCAGTTACCATACGGCCAGGCTAAAATATTACCAAATAACATGTAACAGACCTCTTTGCTATTTCAGATATGACAGAAGCTTTAAAAGAATTACAGGTTCATAAAAGCTAGCAATAAATTTAAAGGCTGTTGGAGTACTGATCATTTTCAAAGTGAAATGCTACTGGTAAAGTCCGTTTTCTAGATCCTAATGGAAGCTGTTCTGTTATCTAAGATATGATCTATAACAGCAAAACATTTGCGTGTCAGTTATTCAACAGTGCATACATACTTCATAACTTGCTGGTGGAGACCTTTTCTCAACTCTTTGTCCTTCTGCTCCATGTCTGTCCACTCGCTGGGAAAACAAAGATAATATTGCTAACTTGCTAGTAGTCAGAACAAAGTAAAATGTTATATTTTAGCATAATTATGGACATTTAGAAATAGAACATATATATATATATATATACAGTAACTATATATACATGGTAATCAGTTTAATACGGTTAAATATATGTGGTAATTTTTTCAGTGAGGGGAAAAATTGTGAATTTAACAGATATTGTGTTTTTAGGTCATAATTTCTTAAAATTAGAATATTCCTATTAAGGAGTAGCGCAAAATTAAAATTATATAAAAAAAGGCTACTGTATAGTTCTATTCTATGTAGTAAATCACCACAAATGCTGTATAGAAATATAATTTTTGTGATGAAAAAATTATGTATCTGAAAGTTTTGATAAATTTTGCCCATTGAAAAGATTGAGTAATTACCATATATCAAAATATATTTTGAATTCTTCAAATGATATTAATCTATTTTTAAATGCTCAAAAATAAACCATTTCACAATAACAAACAGAAACTGTCAGTAAATTTTTTAATAACAAAATGTACATACCTGTGCCAGTTCTCTTTTTTCTTCTTCTAAGTGTTTAACTTTATCTTCCAACTGACGGATATACTGCAGTGCATGTTCTATAAAACAAAAATTCAAATATGATAGAAGAAATATCTGCTGCATCTGAAACATATAAACATTATTCTTTCAGAGTGCTGAAAACAAGCTGACTTTATTTCAAATTTTTATTTCAATCAAATTAAACCCCACTCCTTCTCCAAAGGCAGATAATTGCCAACAAGATTTATGTATTAAAATCAATTACATTACTAGTACATATTATGCTTTTCAGTGAGTAAAGCTTTTTATTTATTTATTTATTTATTTTTATCTTTGAATATATACTTTGGTTTTTTGGCTAAAGGCGCGGAAATGTCAGTGTCTTTTCGACTGGGACCATACTACCTTATTATAAAATAACTGTTAAGCTCTTGATCTATATCTTTATAATAATGCTTACCAGATCTATGTCTGATGTGAATATCATTGCTCTCAACCCTGTCATCTTCATTCTTATCTTCATTAGTAGTATTACTACTGCCATCCCCTTGATCTCTGTCATTCTGGGCCATCCTTTCTTGGTCTAAGTAAATACACAATTCTTTCAGCTCCACATTGTCTTTGACAAGTTCATTCTGTTTATCTTCCAGTTCTTTGAGCTTCTGTTGATATGCTGCCACTTCACTTCGCATTACACTAGCAGTGTAACGTCCGAATCTCTGCCACTCGCGGGCAAGCTTTCTCCCCTTTTGGCGATCGTCGTCAAGAAAACAGCACAAGTCTCTAAGTTCTTGATTATCGTCTTGGAGTCTTTGATTCACTTCTTTCAGGCCTCTGATCTCCAGTAAATGTACCTGCAACCGCCTGTTGATTTCCTTCATCATGTTACCATGGTCGACCATCATGTTTAACTTTTCAGTTTCCAGTTTTCGAACCAAGCCCACCAAATCATCCCGATTCATCCGAGAGATCTCTTCCTCCGGAATTCGAGCCGCCGCCGACATTTTGTTCAACTGTCAGCTAATGATGTAAAATGGGAAATACATTAAATTAAATGGGATGGCTATTAATCTAGGACAATTAAGTGCCCTACTTAAGTGCGTTTTGTTTTAACAGAAATACATTGATCCGTATAAACCTATATCTAACCCCATATACCTGTGGATGTTTGTGGTCCCTTGAGCTCGTTCCTGATTACAAAGTGGGGGTCAGCCGGCAAGTAGAGGATTATGTATTCACATATTCTTACAAAGGATGCCTTCCTCAACGGCTATTGTCCATGCATTATGAATAGAGTTTCGAATATAATGTTCATATATCAAATCATAGAAGTAGCCTCTTTCTACTTCTGTAATCAAATGCTTTCACAAAATTTATCATGACTGAAAGAAAATTTGTGAAAATTTGTGTAGAAAAAACGTTACTGTTTTACCAAAATTTAAGCACCGTCGCAATCCAATCAATCGAAACTACGGAAATGAACATATTTAATTTAGCGCAACTAACACAATTTACGGTTTTTGCTCGCTCTCGCCAAGATTTTCTTTTCATCTATACATCCAGAATATACATTTAGATACCATAATCGTCATGTAAACAGAATTGACATTTTCAGGATTTGTCAAAAATGTGCCAAGGAAGATGATCCAGTAATTAATTAATTAATTAATTTACTTATTTATTTATCATGTACAGATTTTGATTAATATTCAGGGTAGATCACAAATAGGCCAAGGAAGAAATGATTAGAATTTGGTGACAATCCATCAATTGATTAATTAATTCATCAATTAATTAATCAATTAATCAATTGATTAATTAAATTTCAAGATTGGTCGCACATGGACCAAGGAAAAAATGATAACATTTTGGTGATGATCAATTAATCAAATAATGGTTCAAGATTAGTTAATTATTTATCTTATTTATTATTTTGTTTGACATTGCATACAAGTATAATCTTGATTTTAATAGAGCCATACATTCATTCAAACATGACATATTTCTTATTAAATGACTCGTACTTGTGTAAATTTTAATTTTGTTAATTGATGCATTTGGGTTTTAAAAACTACAGTACTTTTGATATTTCGCAAGTTGTTTTGCTTTCTGAGAAATTTTATTTTTCATTCACCAATTTTCTAGGATTTAAACAAGGACAAGTGCACCAAATGTTTTTGTTAATTGGCTTTATTGCACAATGGTTTCCTCAAATACATGTAGCACATCCTATTTTCGAAATAAGTCTTTTTTACCTTAATTAAAGGGATAACAACTGTTTATTTTGGCCAAAAAATGAATTTTCCTTGGGTAAAGGACAATTTTCCCATACTTACCAACATTTAAATTAGTCCCCTTTTTTCCTAGAAAGTTATTTTATTTTATTTATTTATTTTTTGTAATAAGCTCTTAAGAGATTATTACAGAGTGTAGCCATTTATGGAAGTCACGTGATATGATGGCAAGCACAAATTCCAAAATAATTCTGTCAACCGCCGTTTTGGGGGTAAAATAGAATTTATTGTATTTCTATAACTTATTTACAATGTATTTATTGTAAAATATGGATATCTTGCGAACGGTTGTTATCCCTTTAACGCGGTCGTTAGCCTGAATTATAATGGACTTTTACAGGTAACCACTGACCAAATACCGAACGCTAATTGGCTGCAAGTATAATCGGTTAAATAATAAAATGTCTTGTTGGATTTCATAAGTGCGAACGAACAGTTATAACACGATTACTATCTCGATCACATGAACGAGAAGCGTTTGATGTATAGCTCCGGTGTGACAGGAATGGTGGTCCGTTCCCTATTACTTTGTACAGGTGACATTCGTCCCATATACCGGCGGTAGCCCCAATACTGCGACTAATCCTTACCTGCACAATGTAGGCCTACTATATGGACCCCCGAACTTCCATTCCTAGGACTATACCATTCTTGACACACCGACGCGTCCTCTACCAAAAACCAGCGCGCGTACAAGTATACACACACTAAGGCGAGGCAAGTGTGTTGCATATGGTACACGTATATAATACTAAAAACTTCTAATTCTGACATACCTTTAGCAACACTACTGTGTTAGCTTCACGAATAATAGGCCTATCTAACACACTGCCCGTCATTTGGCGATCTTTGTCAAACCAAAGTCAAAAACAGCAAATGTTTTTACAGCTTTTTTTTTTTTAAGGAAAAGCTTGGCTGCAACCGAAATGGATTTATTTCCAATTTTCGGTCTCCATGCTTTTTTTTTTCTAAAATAAAGGCCTATCTAGTTTTCGTATACATACTAATCCTACTCTACTTAAAATCTGTATATATGATATATGATATATTGGCACGACATGAAATCCAGACTATATTTTTATATAACTCTTATCACCGTGTAGATAATAGACAGCAATAAGCTCTCCAGCCCTGGCGTAATTTTAACAAATCTGCGATTGTTGAATGATGAGAGAGTGAAGTACTGTACTAAGTCTAACGATATGTGAAACAAGCTCTTATGAATTGAGACCATTTCCAAATAAAAGTATATATTTTATATCCGCACAAAGATCGTCTCACTGTTCTTAAGTTTCATGCATCCCCTCAATGTTTTCACGCCTCCCCCCTCCATAATAGAACCTATACAAGTGCGCTATTTAAATGTTTACGATTTCTCTTTTGATAACTACTCGTATATGCGTTGTCTAGTGTAAGGTTAAGCGAGTGTAGGCTATATTACATTTAGTCTTTTTCCCTGGGTGAGAAAACTCCGTAGCGAATTGAATACGATAGGCAGAAAAGCAGAAATGCCGTCGGGAACAAAAACCTGGAAATCTTGTCGACTCTTTTCGCTCTTTCTCTTCCTTGTGGATCAACCTGCTCACATTCTTTTTTCGGAGTCACAGGCTGGATCTCTTCGACGTCTTCACAACAGGTTTCGGTCTGAAAAAGAAAATTTGCATGATAAGACAGAAACATATTCTGCTCTTTATTCACAGCATTTAAGCTGAAAATGATGTCGTCCTATTTGTAAAGACAAACCCTACTGATTTTTTTCCTAACTGGTCAGCCTAAAGTAATGAGTGACAGACGTATGGTAAAATTAACTTAAGACACCAAAGTCTGGTTAATTGACAGAAGAGACCATACTCCTGCTCTGTATGTAAATGTCCCCGCAAGGGAGTATGGAAATTATCTTTACCTTCTTTTCCCTCGAAAAGCAAGAATTTCTCACAATGGTCTTTCTGGGACGATTCACTGCTGTTGGTACTCGACGCCTGGAATACGTGTTCACCAATGAATATTCCAGTAGGGACCCGAACACAAAAAGCAAGCAAGCTGCCAGCCAAACGTCAATGGCTTTGATGTAAGAAACTCTAGGCTGAGAAGCCCGTGCTGCTGTAGTTTGTGTGGTAATGGTCAGCACGGTTAGAAGTCCAATGGACACCCTGGCCGGGCTCGCGTCAATGCTGATCCAGAATCCCACCCAGGACATGATGACGATGAGAGCTGATGGCACGTAGGTCTGAACCACGTGGAAAAATCGATCCCTTTTCAGATAGAAGTCGATCCGTAGGCATGGAAACTCTCCTGGAACGAGATATTGACAGCGTTCGTTAAATTCGATACTGAATAGTGAATCGGAGGACTTTTTTTGACACTCACTTCGCAAAGACTAAACATTAATCTTAAACAAGACTGTAAACCATAAAAAGGACATGATTCTAGATGAGTAACTAAAATGCGTTGATTTGTAATTTTTTTTTCAAAAATGGTTGTATATTACAGCTCAACATACCTTGTCACACATGTTGTCCTTTCAATCTTTAAAAATAAGCCTTAACAGACCCACGAGAGTGTGTTATATTAGACATTTATATGAAATTATTAATGGATACATATTAGAGTGCATGATTACCAACTCCATACGCAAATGTCAATTTGTCACAAAATGAGTTTAACAAAGATGTAAATAATAATATACCGATAGGCACGTCCGAGAAAAATGGGAGAATATTTAAAGGTTTTAACCTTAAAAACAACTCATCTTGTCATTTGGCATTTTATCAGCTCCCAATGGTTTTAAAAATATTCCATTTTTGAATGTTAAAAATAGCACGATCTGTCGTTCTGTGATTGATTGCAGTAGTGCGGCTTTGTGTTATCGTGCATAATGGCGAAGTACAGCTCGGAGACTCCTTTGGCGATTTGTCTTATAAATAATTTACAGCATTTGATTCAAGTTCAAGAGCAATTGTTGAAAATGCTAAGACAGTGCATTTAATGGAATATCACATTATATTAGGACCTGTTCAGAACCTGTTTATCAGCGGACTAACTAGTCTGCGGATCATATATGGCGTGACCCACTTAAAAGCATGTCGAGATTTAATTGCCCTGGCCCTGTGTACGTGGGAGGCGAGAATCCATTGTCAAGTGCGCGCCATATTTGATCTGCGGACTAGTTAGTCCGTGGATCAACTGATTCTGAACAGGCCTTTAGAATGCTTTACTTCCTCACGGCGTACCTGCAGTGTAATTCTGTGAGCAATCAGAAAAGTTAGTGTGATGCAGGGTGTATTCAGGCAATGACAGATTAGGATCCCTTTCAACAGCTTTTTCCATCCATACAAAATGGAGGGTGTCCATGTTATTGCCAACTGAAAGGGATAATGACAAAAAAGTAAACCAATTAGTTTTTTATCATATAGACATACTCATATACGTAACATAAGAGTTACAAATTAATGTTGCAGTAAATTATTTTTGATAAGACAAATACATTTACAGTTGATAAGTTTCGGAGTATTAAAACAATGTGTTGAATAAAAAATCTAGTCTGTCGTGGCGACTTATTAAATTTGAAACGAAACTGCGCAGTTTCCATAAGATTTGGCCTCTCGCCAGAGCAAAAAAGAGATTTGTAAAATCCAATGTTAAGGGCTAGACGGAAGAAGGGAAACACAAGATAACGACCAATAAACGTCAAGTCTACTTTTAACACTATTACAAAAGCATGACTTGGACACTGACTCAGAACATTAAGATGTGCAAAGAATTTTAGCCCCATGTAAAAAACGTGAAGCAGATTCCGCGTTACTGATGTTGAGATTCGAATGGGTGTATGTGACTGGGCGTTGTTAATTGTTAACCATTGTTAATGACTTTTTTCATCGGCATAATAAAAATCCATATAATGGTACTTCCATCCATGTATAACTTAGTTATAACTAGATAAATAAATACAGCTGCTACATTTAATCAAGTGATTTTTCAATTTGCATTAATCAACACAAATACTACAGACATTTGGTGTATAATATTAAACATCTACCTAAATACCACATCCACTGGCGCACTCATCCGCATACATACTTAATTACTTTTTTACGTGGTATCTCAGCCAGCAGCTTGTAAAAAAAAAAGGCGTGCTTGAAGCTATGGAATACTCACAACTTTCCATCATGAGTGGGCACTGCTGTGTGTCCAGAGGATAGTCATACAAAGCCATGGTGCAGTCTAACGTGGCGCTGATTCTGAAAGCATAACATTCATCTAGGTGACGATCTAAAATAAGTTTGATCTTTAAAGGGATAACAACTGTTCATCTTTAAAATGGATTTTTTCTGGGGTAAACGACAATTTTCAATACTTAATTGGCAATGGTAAATGAATCCGTTCCGACATTCAAAGTTAGTCCATTATTTTAAATTTGGTTTTATTGTAATAATCTCTTAAGAAATTAGGCTTCGTTCACATGGAATGTCTATTTTCTAAAAATCTATTTTCTATTCGCGCTATCTTATGATCACGGTCTGTGCCCTGAATATCCCGCCGCGTAATTACTGGCAGCGCGAGCCAGTTACTTATAGTAACTTATTGTAACTGGCTTGCGCTGCCAGTAATTACGCCGCGGGATATTCAGGGCACAGACCGTGATCATAAGACATACCGCGAATAGAAAATAGAATTTAGAAAATAGACATTGCATGTGAACGAAGCCTTAATGGAGGTCACTAGGTCCGATGGCAAGCACAGATTCCAGAATAATTGCTCTAACCAATATTTTGGTGATAAAAAAGAATTTATTATATTTATATGAGTTGTTTACAATGTATTTATTGAATATCATACGAAGAGTTGTTATCCCTTTAATCTTAACAAGTGTCTGGTGTTCTTGTCCGTTTTGAAACTATTTTCCTCATCATACAAACTAAGTGCCACACCGTATACCAAACTGCCCCCCCCCCCCCCGTCCCTTTTAGCAAAGTTCTAAATCTGCAAGTGTTATGTTAAAGGATTTGCGACAGACCATCTGATTGGCTTGAATGGAGCATATTGTTCAGAAAACATGCCCGAATAATTTCTTTATTAAAATACAGAAATCGGAAGTTCAGCAGAATGAAGACGGCCTGTGGAAAACAAGTGTCATGTCAGTGCTGCACATGTAGTAACCCACAGGGATTTCATGAAAAGACCCCTCGAAGGAGTCAATCATTTGAGCACTCAAGCAAATCACCATTAGTTCAATAAGGCACACAGATGTAATGTAGGTACAGCCGTCGATTGAATATGCACTGTCATGAATTCTTGAACATGTCAGACATGGAGGTGTTTCACTTTTCCTCAGTTTAAGGTCCTTCAGTCTAAATGACAGTCATACCAAGATGTGTGTGCTACTATTTTAAAAGAAAATTCAAATAATTAGTACTTACTTTAAAACGTACCAAACTTGTCCATTGGAGTAAAGGCGCATCAGTCTGTTTGGGATGGTGACGTGATGAAAATTTGCCTTCTTCTCGTTTCGAAAAAACACATCAGGAACCCAAATTTTCTCCCAGAAGTGTTCATCCATCTTTAACATTTGGCCGATGCCCAGATCTTCGTTCGGCTCGAATGCCAGTCTGGGATCAGTCCAGTTTTGACGAAGATAAATGTTGACAGAAAAATCCTGAAAGTATGCGCAGGGAGAGGCACCATCATTGGACCAATCACTCAGTCTATCTATTTGCAAAGCTATAAACCGATTCTTGTATGCCAACATATATCAAAACATGTTTTTGTCATATGTCTTTAATTAATCTCTTTTGGTATAAAAATATCAACAATGATATTAGCAATGATATGATTCATCAACACCTGCAGTTTCATCCTCATTTTGCATATATACATATCAAGAGATGTAAGGCGACCTTGGCGATATACGCTGCATTCGGTTTTAGGGGTGTTTCTCGGCGAAATGTGAGCTCTATCTCTCAGTATGTATGTCAGATAATACATTGTCACCATTTCGCGATGTATGCCTTGTTCTGACATTTGTCGCTCGGATGACAATGTATCATCTCACACGTAGGCCTATCTGGTGTTTTGAGACTACAGGAAAGCTATGCTTACCATTGCTTGTTCGCTGATGGAATAAAAGCTGTTTACGTATACACCCAGCTCGACCCTCGTCGACTCGTCTGAAACATATTGTTTGCAATCAATGGTTAAATAGAAAGTTCATGGGATTTTCTGTCTTCATTCTGCCGGCTTTATATCTATATATATTGGTGTTGCCAAGAAAACGTTGGAGAAATTACAGATCACTGCTGATCCTTATATCCCAAAGGATTGTTTTTAAAATTGCCTGTTGAATTAAGTACTTTTGCTAAAGAATTGAATTGTTACTGATCCAGGAGTTGATAATAAAAATATGCCTGAAACCATAACCCGGGTCTAGGACCCATCATGCACCGTATAATACATTGCAAAGGGTTTGGCCTACTCCATGTCGCACTGCGACGGTGATGGGTCCAAGCTGTGTTTCCAGCTAAGTCAAGCAAAACAGCCCTTAAAATGTTAACGAAGTAATCTTTTAGGGTTTGTTGGTCAATAAGATAAGGTTTACGGAACCCAGGAGAATTCACTGACGGCTATTTCTTCCTATGTCCTGCGTTTAATTTAAAAACCATTTGCTCCAATATCAAATGGCGCAGTGCTGCTAAATGCTACATTGTAGCAGGGGGTTGCGTGCGATGTGAATTTTACTGGGCTTTTATGGGTACGGTATTATTTAAGGAAAGAAACATAATCAAGTCTGATTCGTTTAGATGCCATCTTTAGTTATAATTTCTACTTTCTTGTGACTAACGAGAGAAGACCTAAACGGATTGCTGGAACACTTTATTTGCCGTTGGTGCGTAATGCAACTTTGGATAATTCTCCATGCAATTTTTACTTAGGCATAATCAATCTTTTATTAAGAGAAGTGTTCGTTATTCTAAAAAGAGAGTTTTTTAAATTTGACAGCTCTACCATCGGTTTAATTGCACTGGGTCTAAGTCTATCCTTTCTGACCATTTTACACAAGCCTAGGCTATGTTTGCCACTACGATGAAATCATATATAATTTTCTGTGCAATTTCTTAAGCAACCTTTTTTTTTCACGTGGGTTTATGAGCACCCACTTGGTCAAAATCAACGACACACATATCCAAAGTCCTACAGTGAGTTAAACCAACTTTTAATCACCTTTACTATCGTTATGCCTCCTACAACCACCAAAGGGGGGAGGGAAGGGAAATGTTCCACGAGAATCCGAAACAATTTTGACAACTCTGTGTCACAACATAATCTTGCATTGCTGCATGATCACCGCAAGCTCACCAACGTATATCGCTACTGCCTACCGGCTTGCGATTAGAAAAAAAAAATGTCAAAAAATTCACCGTGACAAAAGTGTGAAGGATACAGACCGGTAAATCCGTACGGTTTCGTACGGTGACCGTTTTCCTCCACGTGGCCATCCCATGGTTAACGAAACCAAGGCTTAAACCTTATCTTTACTGGTATATCTGAACTCTGAGAAAATACACGACCAGTCGATTTCCTGATTACGCAAAAGCTAAGATTTTATTAAATAAATAAATGAATTCATTTTTTATCACTAGGACATTTAAATTACGTATATGGCAATAATATTGATGCAAGTATCGAAAACTCCATTAAGTATAAGAATCGATACTAATTAGATATACTATCTCAAGAAAAACGAATCTGGAATTGAGGGTGAGATGTTACCTTCGATACCGGCCCAATTAAATGTAAGTGTATTCATTGCACGCACATAACTTTTTAAGTGAACGATTTTGGAATATTTCAGCTCTTTCTTCATAAAAAATAAAAGCGGGAGAGGCAAAATTCGGCCAAACTTAAAACAAGAATGATATTTTTTCAAATGCAGTATATTGGAATCTTTATCTGAAAACTGCTGACTTTCTAATGCACTCATTTTATGAGATCTGTTAGAATTAGTGATATCTATTCACCATGCCGTCATTGCTATTACATGTAATAACAGTCTTAACCATGCTAGGTTCCCCTAAATATTACTTTCTAGTCTCTATATTGATTTTTCAACAATTTTCAGGAAAAAGGGAAAATATATACCTGCTAACGGCGGTCGGAGTTTGTCATAACCTTCTAATACATCGTCTAAAAACTCTGATCTGTAAGATACAAAAAGAACCTGTCAGTGTGTATAATCAGTTCACAAGACACTGGTTTGGAAACTTCTTTAAAACAAATAAATAAATAAATAAATCTCATGAAAAAGCATGAACATGGGGAAAAAATCTTCACAACTAATAAAGCCGGACAATGAGATGCTGCTTTCACAAACGCGCCGAAGAAGAAAATTACTTTTCACCCGAACGCACAAGAACGATGTGAAATATGGGTACGACTTTATGTTAATGACAGCTTTTAAGATATGTCCAAGTTGGCGAAAACTGTCGATGATTTTACTTGAAGTTTTTAGGCACAAGGTCAAATAAGGTGAAACTTCATATTCACGGGACATCTCAATACAGATAAGGCCAATGATGGATGTGGCACGTTCTGATACCCAAGGGGTCAATAAGTCAACAGAGTGCTTTGCATGTTTAAATCCGTTTAAACAGAAATAAATAGATTAAATGCAAGAGTCAAGACCTGTGCGCTATGATGAAAGAAAAACAATACAAAGAAGAAATTTTAAATATACAGTTAAAATCTGCATTATGTTGCAGCCACTACAATTTATATACATGTGTATCATATATACATTTTGTAATTGTTTATCTCGGCTACTTAACACGCGGATTCCATCAAGACCGGCATTCGCAAATCAAATAAATGACCGTACATTAACTGCACATAAAATTCAATCAATGTCGATTAATCTACATTAACAATATCAATATTGCTACTGATAAGGTTTTCGCCGAAAAGAAAACCTTATCCTAAAGATTAAAGTCGGGAGAAGGGAATGATACGGATCAATATAATGCGTAAAATTATAACATCTAGTTGATATGTATTGCTATGTGTTACTAAAGGATGCTGGGACCTTGGGTGTTTGTTTGAATATTTCTAACGCGTAGTACTACGCGTTACATGTACACATGTATGCCTGATCCTTTTTTGGATATTAGACACAGATAACTGCACTGTATACTGCTAAGCCTATACATCTGTGATTAAACACATAAATGAAATGGAGAGCTTATTTCCCAACAGAAACAAGTAGGTAAATAGTTGACTCGAAAGAAGACCTTTAACTTTGCAACTGCACCACACCTACACCCAAAATAACAAAAGGAAATAAAGAGAACACTTACATAGTTTGGTTATTCCGAGGTTGCTTAATCCCAAATATTTCGCTGATGTATAGCAACGCCACAAAGATTAGGATCCTCATCTTCACTCTGTTTCATAACTTTAAACAGCAAAGACAACCTGTCAGAAAAGGAATTGTGTATGTATTAATTTCCAAATTTATCGAGCCTTTCCAATGGAACGCGTTTCTCGTTCTCACTTTAAGACAACCAATTCCTATGGAGCTTCATAACAGCGCGTCAGACGATCTGCTTTGAATGTTCGACTAATCATTATTCATTTCATTCCCTTTAATCCAAAATTTGACAGTTACTGTGTCTCTCGATATTCTTTTAAAAGGGCAGAAGAGGCTTTGGCGATCGGTTAAAACATGGCACTCACGAGAGACCCAAATCCAGTTGTACTTCAGAAAATCGATACTATAAATTTACGGGAAAATGAAATTGAGGACAAATTTAACGTTTTTATACATATTTTTTATACATATTTTTTATACATATTATACTGGCAGAGTAGAACATAATATTGGTCTCTGGCTGAATGGTAAACAACGTCACCCGAAATTAAGCGTCACCCATAAAGATATTTCATTTTTGGCCACAACCTAGTAGATTGTCTCCCGACAACATTGCTCATCAAGCGTTTTAAAGTGTTCGATTCAGCCTGCTTACATTGTAAGATCTGATACCAAGTTTGTTTAAAGGGTCACTGAACATTTCATGTGCATGAAAAGAACATTTTTAGAATAGAATTTTTACATTCGGCAAAAAAATAAATAATAATAATAATAAATAAATAAAATAAAATAAAAAGAGAGACAAAGCCCAAGAGAACTTGTTTCAATAATTGAGGAATGCCAGACAGTTTCAAACCATTTTCACGATGAAATGGCTTTTTCTTCCAAAGTTTAGATGTGAATCTCTTTCATTTGTCTTCTTAGAAAATGCAGAAATCTCTAGACAGAAAACGAAAAAGACATTAGGAAATTAACCTGATTTAAGGTAGGCATGGTACATTTATGGATAATGACTGCAGATAACCCATTGTTTAACTCTGTTCCAATAAGTCGCTTACTTAAACACCCCCAGGACACCCAAACCACTTTTATCATCTTTTTCTGAAGAAAACTAGTTATAATCCGCTCTGGGCGGGATTCTTTATTCAATAAACACAGTGAACTAAAAAAAAAACTAAACAAAACTACCGCGGATTTATGTATAGATTAAATCAGCCAAAATGTTTGCATTATTAAAAAAAAGCATTATGTGAATCCATTCTGAGAGCGTAAAACTCACAGTAGAGAAAGTCCACGTTTTTAAAGGGACCTTTGCCTTTTAGTATTCCATATTAGATCAACTTCTATAAAGATCTAAAAAAAAAGCTGACAGCCTATTTTTTTGCTGAGTAAATTAAGATCACAATGACGTAATCGCAATGTCTTACAAGATGGAGGGATAATGAATAAAAGACGCCAACTCGATGAGACACTTAATTAACGCTTTTCTCAATTAACTTAACAGTTAGAGATCACACATTTTTAATTGATGCAAAGTTGTCTTATAATGAGTGGCACCATTAATGACTTGGCTAGTATTTTTGTCGCCTAAAACGACTATTACGTGGAAAATTTCAAAGCACTACTTCAGAGGAGGATACAGTGCTTCTGAAAGAGACCATATATTTTTATCTTTGCATCTCACATTTTGTTTGTACAAATTTAGACTGACTCACTGTAAATAACAATTATCAAACAAAAGAACGGTGAAACCCATTTATCCCTTTCACTGCTTTTCTGCTTTTTAGCAATCCAAGTGTTACCAAACAAATTTCATATGCATGTAACAAAACGAAGAAAACGGACAGAAAAAGGAAAAAAAGATTCAAAGTTTGGGAACTTGAATTCCCTAGGATGCTCAAAGTCAAGGAATAGCGAGAAAGATCTAACGTCGATTCTCAATGTACTCACCTTTGATTGGCACGCTTCACCATAGGGCGACTTCCATGTGACGTGCTAGCATGCCGCTTGCCTCGTCTTTGACGACTACTCCGGGATCTGGCAAAAGATATCGGGACAGTGTCATGCCACAGTTACACCCACAAGTACTTTTAAAGGCTATGGAATGTTTGATTTGAGTCTTAGCTGATGTTGCTGTGAACTGTCGGCGTTCTCTTCTTAAGATTCATTCCTCCTACGGGCAATTGAAGGATGACGCATTCGTAATTCATTCAGTATTAATGCCATAAAAATTGAAATGGTACTCCAATGTGATATACATTTCTGATAATTGCATTTTATTAGATACTATTAGTTTTAGTACCTAATGCGCTCTTGGAAAATCGATATAATAGAAGAATTTCTTTCTTTTACATCTTTATTAATCTTGTTTATTCTGTCCATTCTATAGCTGAATGCCTACCGAAGGCATGATATATCATCTGGTAATGAATTCAAAGTAAAAAATCCCATATTTAGGGTGAGCAATCATTGATCAGTGTGTTCAGGTTCACAGACAAAATGTTGCTGCGATTTATCATACTAAATTCTACCGACTAAGACAGATTAGACCTATTACTTTCTCTATTGAAAAGGGTGAAATCATATCTGTTATGAATGCAAGGGATTTGGTGACTGCGGCCCAAGGCCTGGGGATTTGAAATCGCTAAAGATATTCAAAGTGTAGGTGGTTGTTCTGTTTCAATAAAACCAATGGCAAGGGTCCAATACACAGACATGTCTCTCTTATTGCCTTTTTCAATATTCACTGACCTTTGTTTTTGTCTTACTCCAGTGTCTGCAGTTCTGCCGTAATTTAGTCTCCTTAGAATTGGTACATGTACCAGGCCACCCCGGGACGATCTACGATACGTTTATTACATCTTGTTTAAGAAAAGGCTTATTTATCATAACAAAGCTGATCATTGAAAAACGTATAAGATAAGCGTGGATGAAAACATGACCTTGAATCTCTTGCTAATTTGGTAAAGCCAAAGTAGAGGTTCTTAAACCCCCTTTGCACAGGACGGTGTCCTTGCTGCGTCCTTTGTGCGACCATGAAACTGGCATCGCTGTGGTCATAAAAAGGAGGCACAAGCATCGCTAAGGTTGCAGAATGAATGCTCAATGATCGGCCAGTTGTCGGCACGTAAATATAATTTTTTTACTGTCAAACGGGGAAGTACTGCGGGACGCAGAAAGGACGCCGTCCAGTGTAAAGGGGGCTTATGGGTAGTTCTCTCTGCCAGAGCCCAACTACATGATGCAATTATTGTTGTCCAAAAGTCCTCAGCACATATCTCCTCAAAAATATCTGTCAACAAAGATCCCTCAGTTGCCCTGGTCGAAGGCCAAACACTGGTTGTAAAAAGTGTCTCAAGACTATGTCTCTTCAGTCACAATATTATGACGTCTTACATATACGTTATCACTTCTGTAGATTAAGTTAAACAGTTAAACTGTACCAAGATTACACTGCTTCAATTAAATTTGGCAAAATTTGCTTTTTTCACATTAGCGACAAGAAACTTTAGTTTTGCGTCCGTCTTATAGTCTTTATATCCCTTTTTACATGGCGCAGATTTTCGATTTGGGCGCGTATCTGCTCACCCAACTTTTTAGTTAGTTGTAGTCATGAGCGTCCGCAGAAAATTTTCCAGGGGGGGGGGGGGTCAAAGTCATTGAAGGAGGAGATAATGATTGGCTGGGTACCCACAATAAAAATGCAGTTTCAAAATTCCAGGGGGGGGGGGGGGTAAGTGACCCCAGTGTCCCCCCTGCGGACGCCCATGGTTGTAGTCACGAGGAAACATTCAAGGTGAAGAAAAGATGACCTGATCTGCATGCGTTGTATGAAGTGATCCACACAAAAGCAGACAACACCTTTAAAACTCATATGTTTTGAGATATATTCTATCATCAAGACAATCATTATCACGAATGGTGCCATATTTTAAATAAAAAAATCTCGGTTTGCACATTTGATCACATTTTGACGAAGTCTTTCCAGGATAGTTTAAGAAAAAAAAAGGATGTTTACGAGCACGAACACGAGTTTGCCCAGAAACATCAATGAACACAAAAAAAATCGTAACGCTGAGGGCAAAACTGAATATATCTGTTTATGAACCTAAAATGAATCATTTTACGTTTTTTATAAGTTAAGCAATATGATCTATCGTAGGATGACGAGGATCCCCTTTTTCTTGCAATGGAAGCGGATTAAGGTTACATGCCCTGAAATATATCATTATATGACATACGTTGAGTTTTTCTTTTATTTTCGTATACATCAAACAATAATATCTGACAAATACTAAGGAACTATGCTGATCAACACGTCGATAACAGATACATTGTAGGGCTGTCATTGTGCTAGGGTGCCAATTTTACCTGTTGAAGTGGCGGGAAGCATTTTTGAGCACAGCTGAAAAATCCTTATTGGGTTTAGATGGCACTCGGTTCGAAGGAAAATTTCGGAGGATAAGCTATCCATAAGCTAGCCACTGTTTAATAATTTAGAATATGATATTCATTTACCGAATGGCAATCGAAGCATGAAACTTAACCAAATTGCATTAGATTATGTACTCTTTCATTAGAAACGAACATTAGCACATGTAACCACACAAAATGCTTGCAGCGCCGTGCGTATTGGGATAATCTGAGAAAAGATTTTTTGGGGTAATCGAGTTGATGTGTAAAGAAATACCTACCCCTTCCAAAACCGATTTTGCAATGGCTTGATGTCTTAAACTTTCGCGAATGCGCTCTGCGTACCCGGGTATTCTCTTTTTGGTATTCGAAGCTGCCAAGGTAGTCTGTCCAACCAATCCAAAACATCAATCTTCCTTAAAGGGATAACAACTGTTCATTTTGGCCGAAAATGGATTTTCCTGGGGTAAAGGACAATTTCCCCATACTAACCAATGGTTACTGAATCCATTCCAACATTCAAAGTTAGTCCCTGTTTTTTTCTAAAAACTTTTTTTTGTAACATTCTCTTAAGAGATTATTAATAGTGTAGCAATCTATGGAGGTCACGTGATGTGATGATCAGCACAAATTCCAGAATAATCGCGTTAAATGCCGTTTTGTTGGTAAAATAGAATTTGTTATATTTCTATGATTTGTTTACAATGTATTTATTGTGAAATATGGATATCATACGAACAATTGTTTGCCCTTAAACCTTACCTATGCACCGGTTGTGGGTTTGGTCTCAGACAAGGGGAACACACACACAGTAATGGCCCTACTCTGTCCGCTTGTAGCTAGAATATCGTTAGACGTCGTGACAGAATTACTTGACTCCTCCGCAGACTTCTTTACACTGATGTTGTTTGAACTACCTAAATCTAGCACTGTCAATAAAAATGAGTTGATTCCCAATGGAAGCAATCCCTGGTCCATCATAGACGCATCTGGGGATACTCTTGTTCCAGTGGGGGATTCAGTGGCATGATTCGGCGCTCACATCGAGCATATTGTCAGTTATTCTGAATGTAGGCCTACATGGTAAAAGCAATAAGAATAACTCGTGTAAAGGTGACCGTCACTGTTAAATCGGCAATACCTATTATTTTTTCTCACATTTTCGAGACGTCCTCGTCAAGGTCTGGGGGTAATTGCAACATCAAGTGGATTTTTCTCCAGGACCTTTTTGATCGGTTGTTTTCTGGTGAAATTTTGCCAAAGAGGATTGAGGCAATATTTCCATATTAAGACAACCCGGTATTGACGCACACAGAAGGGTTTTGATTCTTCTGCAAGCTTCAATAAACGTGCATGGTTTGAAATAATTTTGCCAACTACTGATTAGCAGATAAAATAACAAGGTTCGACAAACCAATATATTTTTTATTTATTAAAATGACTAAAAATGATAGTATACTTTTTATCATGAAACGTGGACTGTAAAAAAGTTTTTATTCCGAATGTCGTTCTGTAAGAAGTTCACATGATTGGTATAATGCCGGGCTAATGTACAGATTGAAGTTGATAGATTTGGGTTGTTTTACATGATTGCACATAAAATATTTTATATTTAGTGTCAACTTCGCAAAAAATACGACCTCATGGAAATTACGATAACATTGTGATCATAACCGTGGCTTGTACCAGACTATTATTGCGACTATCAAAATAGACATACAACAATTAAGACGATTGCCAATCTTCTTAATTCATTTTGTCGAAGCTTTGAATCATTTTTCTTGATACCATAATGCAATTAATAAAAATAATAGAACATTCACTGTAATTACTAAATCGCGTTCTTTCCCTGGTCATGCAAGACTTTGTTGTCATTATTTTTCAAAATTTGTGGCGGTAACACGCATGCCCACGGTTATCTGTCGTGGATATATAAAATATACATGAATTTTAACGAAAAAGCAATGGGCTAGTTTGTTTGTAAAAAAACGTACATGACCGCACTCTCGAATGTCACAATCCACATATTTCAATCAAAATAAGAACATTCTGTGAGAAGAAACCAACATTAACAAGTTTCAGTCTTAGAAGACGTTTCCAGATGTCAGCTTTTTTTTGCTAGGCTTAGACTGTCAAACTCAAGGTCGACGATTTAATACAAAATACCTATTATTTTTGTTTTATTTTCTTAATTTTTTACTTTATTCATTTATTTTTGCGCCAGAATATACTGGCGAAAATGTACATGAAACGACGGAAGGCTACAATACAAAACACTAAGCTACAACATATGAGCTACATAATTAAGACTTATCCTATGTAACTTTCCTTTAAAAAGTAAGTTAATTCAAGAGTAATAATGACAAAAGTGACTTGGCATATTGCATACATTGGTCTTTGAACGGCCTGGTTAAAGTTAAATGCAAAACTTGACTTACCTAAATGGGTTATTGTCACTATTGAAAAACAAAAATGAAAACCAAAGCAATTCAATCAGCAGGTAGTTGTTGACCCAAAACGAGACGCCTGAGCGCCCTTTTAGACTTAGCGAAACACTTACATTCTAAACCCTGTACATTTGCTCTGGCCGACTTGCAAATATAGCAGTTTGGCGAAACAAACCTCAATACCCACTGTGACGCTATTTTGTTATATCGGTTATTGAATTAGGTCGCTTTACCAACTTGGCGTTTTTGTGGTTTTATTTATTATACATAAAATCAATTTTATAGCTAACACAGTTATTGTAAGTTAATGATTACAGTATTAAATTTGCTACTTAGGCAGGGTAGTTAATATTATAAAGTCAAAAGCTGTCTCCTTTTAATATATTCTCATTCCCAGTAGACGCGGTACTACTTATCGCCGCCGCCACTTATGACGGTCAATCTCATACATTTTTAACTCAGATCTCTGTTGATTTTTTTGTAGATAGTGTCTTGTAGGTTAATGTCGCCAACTTGACCCGGTGGGCATTTTATGACGCTAGAAAAGCCTTGTACCAATTTACATTGATTTGAATTATTTACCTCATACGAGTGCATTGTGTCATCTCTTTTATGCAACTTCTGTTCTTAACTTAGTTGGCGAGATGTAAGGCGCAGTTGTTATGCATCTGTCCATTTAAGTGATAAAAAAAAATGTCACAGAGGGAAAACAACGTAGAACGACCTTAAACTGACAACATACAGCGTAGAAAGGAAACCAATATAAATTTCAAGAAACGAGCCCCACACAGCACGTTGTTAATATGAGCCATCTTCGGAACAATTCAAACGCATATGTAGTGGTGAGAATTTACATCGCTGACAATACCAACGTAGTATTTCAAATCAATCGCTGACGCATCTGCTCACCGAACTTCTTATAGTTAGTTGCACTCATGAGGAAACTTCTTAGTTCGTTACTTTTGGGAAGAAGTAATAGCCCCAATCTGGATTAATAGACAGAATGTATGCGTTGGTTCCCTTGAAAGCAGATAACAACATTAAAACAATGTTTCGAGATATATTGTAATCTGTTTTGTCTTTCTTGGCTAGAAATGTGAAGCTGCAACGGTATCGATTTTCGTGGCAGCAAATTGCTTTCCAATGTCTTTAATCTATCAGAATAAAGATGAAATTGTTGCGCTGGCTTTCTTTTCTGGAATACACCGCTGTCGCGTGCACTTGGGACAATTAATAAGCAGTATTAATGTTTCTCAACAACAGTGTTTACTTGTTTTGGGGTAACCCGCAACCTTCTTAAAGCTCTTTCTTCAGACGCTGTGTTGCTTTCAGACAACTTTCTCTGAAGCTATCAATTCTGTAAAACCTCATCATAGTGCACAGCGTGAATCCAAATGGCGGATGGAATGACTCTACACTACCCCTCTCTCAAGAAAAGACAAACAAGATATGCACAGGTTATGCCTTGGTTTTCCCCTTCTTTTCACTGCCTTTATGTAACAAAAATTTGCTGTTGGAATGAGCGAAGGCATGTAATTCAATTTATGTTATCTCTAACAGTACTAGTAACGCTGCCCAAATGTTGCGCTTGCTTTTTTCAAAAATAATTCTGCCGACAGATAAATATCCCCAATGTGCCTTAGGCTTCATTTACGATTTCTTTATTGCTCTAGACACGATTCCCAGAAGGGCGAGGATCAGATATCTTTTTCTTCATTTATTTATTTGGCACAAGCCCAGAAAATGCTGAGATCAGATGCACTCTATACTTTATAAATGAGACTCCGTTGCACTACATGCATGAAAGTTTATCCCATCAGCGTTAAGTACAACTTGTTTATGGTAGCTACATTCAGATGACAGGACCAAGGGTCAGACTAATGACCTTAATCTATTGGATTAAGTGAACTACAGGCATGATAAATTAAATGGTCAAAAACTGATAACCGAATAATTTGATTTCTTGTCGAAGGATAGTTCTCTCTAATGGCCCGATGGAAAGAGAAAACGCCAGAAGTACATGTATGTATATATACATAATACACCAGGAAAGGAAGTATATGGTATCTTAACGATATACTTTAGATTTATAGTAAAAAGATACAAGTGTTATCAATTACATATAGGAGTTTTGAATGAAACAATGAAATATGGCGAAGTAAAACATTTGCTTTCCAATTCTGTAAGTGTTTTTATTTGATACTGAATAATCAATAAGATAAAGAAAGACACTATACACCACAATGCTTTTCATATGATTTTATATCAAGGTGAACAAAATATTATGAAATACGATTGTTTCATGCGGTAGGCTAAGATCTATCGTCTTAAACGCAAACCAGACACACGGTAGCACCTTAAATTAAATATATGTACATGTTCCATACTTTACTCAATGTCTTTAGATAGGACACCATTCACTGAAACGCCACAACGTTACATGTACAATAAACATTGGTATCCATCATGGATAGGCATATCTTAGGGCCAGTGCTCAATCAGATGATAGAAATCCGATTTTCGGCCGAAGCCGTATAAAAACCAATCCAGAGTATTAATCCCGCTCTGCCGCCAAATCGACTGAAAGGCAGGAAAATCCAACTTTATTACCATCATTCCGATTTTTCAAAAAGTTGGGGAATCATGATGCATCGTTGTGTTATAATAGGAAGCTCACACTTCTCTCACATGTAATCAAATTCACCTAAAATGACGTACATCCAGGAAAATTGATGAAAACGGGAGATTAAGTCAGCTAGATTGATATTAAGATACCGGGAGTATCTGCTGTTCGATACTTCAAATTCAATTTCCTTGATTGTTAGTTGCGTATACTAATAACCATTATATCTGGTACGTCGGGATTTTGGCTTCCCTTTTTACATTATGAGCAAACTGCCTCGTTTTTTCGTAATTGCGGTTACACAATTCGGTTGAGGAGGATGATGATCTGAACTCTTCTGAGATTTTCTTACACTTGTGTTATTCCCAACCGACTCGATTATTGGCACAAGGACTGCGCCAACATGTAATCTATATTTGACTAAAGAATAAATAGATTCTGACCAAAACAGATAATGCGGACTGGAAAGGCCATTATGTGTGCTATCTTAAAGATGAAACGCACACGTATATGAATTCTGGCACAATGCACAACTTTATAATACGGATGACATTTATGGATCAAAATTGAAAGAAAACCCTCCAAAACCCAGCTTTTGCTGCAATCAAAAACACCAAAAACGTTTTAACAGGTGTCTTAATTTTCAGCAGATTATTGCATGATATTTTTCACACCAAAATCATGTTAAAAGAAAGAGAAAAAAGACGAGTGAAGATTTTGCAAATTCACGAGTTTTTCTCATCACGATGACGTCACTTTGACACTATGCTTATTGATATGTTTCATGCAAAATTGATCTCCGCCCAAGTCCTGCCAGACAATTTGTGAGCAGAACAAACTCTGGAACAATTCAAAATCCATAGTAACACGAATATATCAGACTAAATATAGTGAAGCACATCGGAAAAAGAACTCTGGAAATTTTGTCCACTTTTCTTGCCTTTTCCCGACCATTTGGATCCTTCACCGTCTCTTCCTTTGACGTCGATGGACAAGCTTCGTCCAGTTCTTCACACATGCTGATCTGGGGCTGAAAACAATGTAATTTCGTGAAGTGTTTTGAGCTGCAATGATTCTCAATATTTGAAAAATATCTAAAAGGTCTTTATTGTAACTGGATAGCGAAAGCGTGTGTTAGTTGTACTGGTATCACTGGTATGGAATAAAGCAATCCATGTTAAGGTGCCGTGCCATATTTGAAAAAAAAAAACGTTGCTAATTGTCATGGGTTGTTAAACTTAATATTATAACCAACAAAGAAAATGTTTTTAATGAATGATTTTCCTGTCTTTTCTACATGTATACACATTTCCATATTGTCATACACATGTTGGTGTCACGCTTACATGCAAGTTCAGTAAAACAGAACCAACCTTTTCTTTGGCAGACGGGCATGGCATCGTGATAATCATTTTCCTTCCTCTCGCTGGGGTCGTCACCCTTTTCAGCTTGGGCACCTGTCTTCTTGTAAAATTGTTCACCAACGAATACTCGATCAGCGAGGCGAACACTATGATCAAGCACATGGCAAACCAGACATCAATCGCCTTGATGTAGGAAACGCGAGGCTGGGACTCTCTCGCCGCAGTGGTCTGGGTGGTGATGGTCAGCACGGTGACCAGGCCGATGGTCACTCTGGCCGGAACGGCGTCGATGTGTATCCAGAAGCTGACCCATGACATGATGACGATGAGTCCGGAGGGAAGGTATATTTGCATTATGTAGTATTCACGATTTCTTGTCAAATGGAAGTCGATGTTTAGGCAGGGGAATGCGCCTGAAATACAAAAGAAACATATGGTTGAAGCGAAATGCTTTCATGGTGTGGCCTGGTTTTAATCGCTTCTAAACAGATAATCGTTTACTTTAAGGCATCCGAATGGACCATTTCAAATGAAATACCATTGTCAGTTCAGATTTACTAAAATGAATGAGAATTAATCGCCGTTTCTTAAATTATTGCCATCGCGAATAATATAATATTTAGCATTGCTCAGTGTTTCACGACAACGTTCACGTAAAATTTCAAAGGTTTTTGTTAAATGACCGTCTTGATTCAGCCTTGGAGCGCGATCTCACCCACCTGCCGTGTAGTTCTGTGAACAGTCTTGGAAGTCCGTTTGATCAAAGCGGTACTCGGGCAACCTCAGGCTCGGGTCCTTCTCCACCGCGTTCGTCATCCATTCAAAGTGCAATGTGTCCATCGTGTTGCCAACTAGAATTTGAAAAAAAAAGGATTGTTCACATTACTCTGAATTGATTTTAAGCATATGATGGTATTCGAGCGTAGGTGAGTGGCACCTGAATGTTACAGTGTTTACGCCACGTTCCGATTGCAGCCGTTTCAGGTTAGTTTGATACATCAAATTATGTTTCGTCTTTAAAATAAAAAACATAAATGTACTCTCAAACTCTATTCCCGTCAAGATTAAAGATACATGTAACCGTACGGTGCCTTACATTAAAGTCGATTCACAATTACCCGTCATCCTTTCGCAAAGAACCTTAATGCCGCTTACCTCGTTTATCGGTTTACACCAAGTGGCTAAGAAAAAAATGAATCTTTTAATACTCACAACTCTCCAACATCATTGGGCATATCTGTTTATCTAATGGGTAGTCCTTCAAGTTCATGTGACAGTCCAAGGTAGCTGTTATTCTAAGCAACAGAAACAAGAAAAAGAAAAAATGAACATTACAAAGCCAAAAAGTGACAGATAAATAAATAAATAAATAAATTAGTAGGGGGGTTTGTTATCCATATTGTTCTGGGTAACTCTGGTTCTTTTTACATCAAGCGTTACAATTTCCCTTCACTGGTCTTAAAATCCTAATAAGCTACGTTTTTTTTTCGCATTTTCACAAGTCCCAATGTACCAATCAAAATCAAATGGATTAAATGGCGGGGGGGGGGGGGGGGGGGGG